TAATCGGAAGCAATCTTGTGGATGTTGGCCCACATTCCAGAAGCCTTTGAACCTCACACCCGGGTTGTGATGAAGTCAGTCACGCGTGGCAGTAAGGTCTTAACCTGGATAAGGCGGGTGCTATTCTAGTCTATCTTGCACGCGTGCTTGTATATCGCCGCTGTGTACTTTACACTGTGGGCCTCGAGTGGATGGATCTCAGGCGCGGCATCTTGGCGGGTGTGTATGGGATTTATTAAGGTATCTTGTTGCTCCAGGATTTTCTTGTCACACGTAAAATATTGTTGTTCCTTTCTCAACTTCAATTTCTGCGTGCTTTGCAATAGCGCTGCTGGATAAATACGCGTAGCCTGAAAGATTGACAACCAAGATGCGCTTTACCTACAGCATTGCAGCTCTGGCTGGCCTCAGTGAGTAGCGCAATTCAACACGAACGATGCTGTCAACTGACAATTCCTAGCTCAAGCATGGCCTACGTCAGAAGCACGGCATCTCGCGCCTCGCGCCGTAAGCTACGTGGACTCAGAAACTGGCTTCACTTTCTCGGAAACCAAAGCGGCTGCGACACTCTCGTCGAACATCATCTACCGCATAGCGCAACCCGCCAATGTGCCAGCGGGTGAACCATACGACATTGTTCTTCAAGTCGTCGCGCCCAACGCCCTCGGCTGGGTTGGTCTCGCATGGGGCGGTAGCATGGTCCGCAACCCCCTTACAGTGTCCTACCCGAACGGCCAGAAACCAACAGTATCTTCACGATGGGCCACGTAAGTCGTGCGACCCCAGTAGCAACCCACAGAATGCTAATACTCACCAAAGCGGCCACTCGACACCCCAACAATACACCTCAGCAACCTACACGCCCCTCACAACCGGCAACAAGTCCAACAACACGCATTGGCAATTCACCGTAAAATGCACCGGCTGCACGACGTACACCGGTTCCTCCGGCGCCGTGCGCATCGATCCCAACAGCAGTAGCAAGCGCTTTGGCTTCGCGTGCTCGCAGAGCAAAGTTTCCAACCCGTCTTCGACTAGCGCGTCGATTCCTGTGCATGATGTGTACAACTACATCACGCATGACTTTACTGCGGGTGCGAATCAGAACTTTGAGGCATTGTTGGCTCGAAATGGGGTTGCGAGTACGGGTGGGATGGGGAATGCTACGGTGATGGTGTAGAGGCGGTGGTGGGAGAGGGTGGTGGACTTGGTAATGGGCTTGTAGATATTGTAGGGGCTTTTGTGGAGTATATACTATAGAATGGTAGAATTTCGCCTCTCCTCGAGAATTATGGGTGCTGCGCAACGAGGCAGTGATACGGCGTACGACCCTAAGTCTGCACACAAAAGCCCAAGGCCGTGATTTCAGTATCCCCAGTGCTCGAAGATAAGCTGACAATGTCACACTGATGATGATGCTTCCTGTCATTCACGACAAAGCGGAATATAATAGGTGGAGAGACATGTACGGTCTTTAGTAATCATTAGCATCATGAACGAATTGCATTCCGAACAACTTGGTATTCGCCACATAACGTGCACGTGGATTCTCTTCTGCGATCTAAACGATTACACAACGCAATGCCAAACGAGTGCTAAGCTAAAAGCACCACACCTAACAGCTCTGACTAACGAAGGTCTTGACAGCCACTGAGCGACACTAGCGATGATAGATATACGGCGACAACCAGCGTCTAGGCCTTGATGGCCATGTCACCGAGCGGCATCTCCTTGAGCCCTGTCATGCAGATGTTAGCTTCATGTCGCATGAGTGAAGGACGAGCAGGTAAAACTTACAGCCGTCAACATCCTCGGGAGCTTGCTGCTTCTTCTTGCAAGCATTGTACTGCGCAGGCTGCTGAACGGTAAGGCCAGCCTTGGGGCAGGCTGTGTTGAGGTTGCAGTTGTTGTCCATGGCCTTTTGGAGGGAGTCGCCTTCCCAGCCGAAGACGTAGTCACCATGCGCGGCAGAGCCACTGAAGAGAGAAGTCAGCGATCCTCTTCTTCATGGACACTAGAGATAGGAGAAGAATACAGGAAGACTTACCCGATGTTCATGCTGTAGACAAATGGGTCACTGCCATCGGTGGGCCACAAGCTCTTGTCTGCGAACTTGTTGACATCCCACATGAGCTCGTACATAATCTGAGGGAGCTTCACGGGATGTGTGGACGGGCAAGCACCGCCACCATTAGCACCAGCACCCTGGCCATAAGCGACGTGTGCCTGATGATCTGGCGAGTCGAGGTTCTTGCCATCCCAGCAGGTGGGAAAGATGATGGTCTGACGGATGAGCTTGCACTTGGGGTCTTTGGGAATGGCGACAGTGTCGGAGCCTGAGCAAGGCGCACCGCCAACGAAGGTACTCTCGGAGGGAGAAGTCCAGCAGCGATGGCAGATGTTGGAGAGCTTGACCTTGCTGGGGTCGGTATTGGTGGCTGAGCCGGCAAGCATGCGGAAGCCCTTCTTGAAGGCAGTGGTCTTTCCGCTGGGGATGTAGTAGACGTCGAGACCGCCGTCATTGATGAGCTTTCCTTGTGGTCCACCGTTTCCGATCTTGGCTTGGGGTTAGTGACTTTCTTGATTGTGATGCGTTTGCTAAGACGTTACTTACCTGAGGCACGCGAATGTATCTAAAAGGAGGTCAGCGCATGTTTCGCACACAATGTATACATAGTGTTGTAGTTACTCACGTTCCATTCTTTGCCTTGAAGAACATGACGGCGGTCCAGTAGTTCGACTTATCCTGGACAAAGCTGCAGGAAGTGCACTTAGACATCTGCGCGATATCGTTTGAAGGGTCCATCGTGATGTTGAAAGCGTCACCTCCGACGATCTGATGAAGATGTGGCGTGTACTTGACACCCGGGTTGACGAGGGGGTCTGTTCGCTCGACGACAAGCTGTGAGCAAGCAAATCGCAGCATGTTCTGCGCAGTGGCATGGCCTGCAAGGGCCGTAGCCGCAGCGAGGAGGGTAGCCCACTGCATCGTGACTAGTGGTCGTGATGTAGTCTTTGACTATCGAGAATGTACGTGATGCTGGAGAAAATGAGTGATGATGAATGTAGAGACACAAATGATGAGGCTTCAACCATGTCTCCTAATAACCTCTCTTATAACGAGACCGCCGAAGTATTCGCCTGATTAGTGATGTCCACGAGGACAACTGCCGGACCACGGGGAAATCCTGATCGATCGTTGCTGCAAAATATGGGTTTAATCTAAGGTGGTATAATGATTGGGTTAGAAAGCTTTGCAGCTCAAATTGTCTACCCACTTCGTATGACGACCCAAAGAATGGTGAACTCTGGAATGTGCACTGAACAGGTCATTACAGTCTATCACGCCCGCTGTCGAATCAGGCTGCGGGTCTGACCATGGACAAGCCCGGAGGTGCGGATGCAACCTCTTGGTTTGCCGCCCAAGATATTGTGCCCGTGACATTGGAGGTAAAGCGCCCATATGCTGCATGCTCCAAGACACTTGGCTTCTACCTGTATGATATGTATGCTAGCAGTGTAATGAGCGCTGAGCCCCTTTCGCTGACTGGAGCTATCAAATTCGGGAAGATGTGATGCCATCTCTAGGTAAAGTTTGGAGGAGGTCCCAGGAATTCTAGGGTCGTAGAGCGCGCCTTTATTGTGAGTATCATCGCTGTCAGCTTATCCTCGCTATCGGCGTGAAATCGTGCTTCTCGAACTCAACGCCAGAGTCTCAAGCATTGCAATTAGAGAAGGCTCAGACGTGGGATGATCATCAGCATCATCGCTCGAATAACAAAGTCAGCCAGCCAGCCGCTGCTTGGCCAGACCGCCTACATGGCAGGCACGCTTTGCACGCTCCGCAGCTTTGAACCCTTATGAGGGATGGTCGCTAAGTTCGCGGTGAGGCTGACCAAAACAGGGAAGGATTTGGAACCCCACGTTGATGGGTCGTGTGGGAGGCGCTTTTGGGCCTCCATGGCAGCTTCGGTAGGTCATCGATGCCAATGTGGTGAAGAGGCGTGGCGATGGGCTCGAGAGATTGAGTCTTACCCAGCATCATCTGGTACTTGGGTTGGACATACTATATGCCATAAACTCAGACGAATGCGGCAGGCCACTGGTTCCGATGCCAGCATCTCTGTACTGTAGGTACTAGATCGTGTAGACGGATCATGCATCAATGGGTGACGCAAAAGGTGTCTGAACTGACTTGTGTCGTAATGCAGGATGTTTCAGACAACTTGCATCCATGGATGGCATCGGCGGTCTCCAGTGGCGCGGCATCGCTGGCTTGTGGATGGATGAGGTCGTCGAAGCAAGGTTTGGCGAAGTCTGCGGGGCGCTTTCGCTTGGCGCTTTGCTACGGAGCAGGCACCAACGCTTTCAGCGTCGCGTGGAAAATCATCCGCAGACACCACACTATTCCTCTTCCATCGCTATACTCATCTATCCTTTGTCACACACACATCAGAATATGGAACGGCCACCTTTAGCCGCTCTGCATGTGGCCAAGCCTGGATCTGCAGTCTTCCTTTATGAGGAACTTCATATTGCAAGGTGATACGATTGGTGCCAGCTGACTTCGACCCCTTGCTCTCAATAACCGGCATTTCACCGTTGAACCACGAGATCCCTCGTTGCGCAAGGCGCATTAAAGTTCGTGTGGGGTATCGCATGGAAAATTGCCGATGGCCAGGGTCGTGCATCTACAGATATTGCGGCTGAAGTGGGAAGTGGCACGCTGCATTGTGGGACAGTCGAACATGTGGAAAAGAGGCGTGGCTCTGGATCATATTGCTGATGAATAGAAAGAAACAGTTGGGCTCTGTCTGCTTGCAGACTGGATGCGTGTGCGCCAATTCACACGACACTCCCCATCTAATCGGGACTGATATGACAAGCCTTCTCAACTACGCTACTGTTGCAAGTGGGCCAACGGCTTCTGAACTGAATGGCCCCTTTGGACTAGGAAAATAGGCCAAGGAAGTGATCTCCTCGGATGGAAGGAAAGAGCATCACCAAGCAATCTTGGCGAGTAAGCCGTTGGGCCAAGTGCGCACACAGTACTTCCTTGACTCATCGAGGACGAGCAAGCCCATACCGAAAGCAGCCGGAAGGAACCAGTGCTCAACCGAGACAGTCCTGGTGTCGATCGTGTCTTGGAGGGCTGGAATGTAACAGAAAATGAAGACCACAACGATGGCGAAGATCATTGCAGGGAAGAGCGACCAGTTCTGAGTAGCCTTGTTGAAGATAGGCGGTTGCTGGAAGATGCTGAGTCTACGGGTGCGAGTAGCAAGTAGGTTGAACAGTTGCCTGTCGTCAATGTCAGCTAGTTACTTAGTACACTTCCACATCTATACTTACATGATCACTAGCGTGACGAAGTAGATACTCGAAGCTTCGTTGGCGACTTCGGTAACGAATTCCGGGTCGTATTGAGGATCGTAAACACCAAACTTCAACCACATTGCCGTGAACGGAACTCCTCTGCGCTGCATCCACCAGAAGCTCATGGTGAAGGCGAGGAAGCACTGCAGTAGACCGACAACGAAGTAGGCATGGAAGATGAGCCGAGCGTTGACTAGCCTGTCCTTCTTAGGGTTACGAGGAGGGCGAAGCATCACATCGGCCTCTGGCTTCTCATAAGCAAGCGTGATCGCGGCGGCACAGTCGGTAAGACAGCAGATTATGATCTAGACAAAGTTAGCTGACGGACGCAGTGTATTGAGATCAGATGTACTTACCATAAGGAAGGAAGACAGGATCTGCGGAATACCGAATGCAACGTTGGTAACGACGGGCCACAGCTCACTGAAGCTACCAGCGGGAAGCAAGTACACGATGGTCTTCTTCAAGTTGTCGTAGACCAGTCGACCGTACTGAACAGCCTCAATGATGGCGGCGAACGAATCGAGAAGAACCATGTCGGCAGCTTCGATGGCAATATCGGAGCCACTGCCCATAGCGATTCCAATGTCGGCAGCCTTGAGCGATGGCGCATCGTTGACACCATCACCTGTCATACCGACAATGTTGTCGTGGGCCTGGAACTCCTTAACGATACGAAGCTTCTGCTCAGGCGTCGTCCTAGCGAACACAATTTCTTGGTACTGGCAAAGCTGGTCCCATTGCGCCGCGTTCAATGTAATCAGTTCGGGCCCACTCAACACGATTGACTGCTTCGTAGTCCCGATCTTGCCTTCGCGGCCAAGTGCGCTGATATCGTCGACCAAAGCAGAGTTCGAGATGATGCCACACTCTTCAGCGATGGCCTGAGCCGTGAGCTTGAAGTCACCAGTGACCATGAAGATGCGGATAGAAGCTCCCCGAAGAATACGAACGACGTCTGGAATCTCATCACGGGGTGGATCGACGATGCCTACGATGCCGACAAACGTAAGGCCTTCCCGGGCTGCAACCAATACTTCCTTCTCATGGTTGGCGGAGAACGGTACGATAGTCGGCTTGCGAGCGAGCAGTATGACGCGCTTTCCCTGGCGAGACCAGCTGTCTTTCACGGTGTCGATTCGAAGGCGTTGTGCGTCGGTAAGCGGTATCTCTTCACCCTTCTCGTTCAGGATGAGATCGCATCGAGGTAGGAGGATGTCGGGAGCTCCCTTGATCATGAGAGTGGCATTGTTGCTCGTCGGTGTCTGGTTCGCCGGTGTCATCAAGCGGACCATGAACTTGTTCTTGCTGTTGAAGGCAATTTCGAAGACCTTCTTCCAATCGCGACGCAACTCGGCCACTGACCCAAGAGACTCGGAAAGTCGAAGTATAGCCTGATCAGTGGCATCGCCATTAATCTTGCGCTCCGCAATGGGAAGATGCATAGTAGCGGCATCAAATTCACCGGAGTTGCAGAGACCACCGAGCATGCGGACTTGATCCATGATGTTTGTCTTGGTCTTGGAGAGCACGGAGAGATTCTGTTCCGAACGAAAGACTGCCATCATATCACGCGCCGCATCCGTAGTGTACTCTTCGCCTGCTGCATAAATGTCCGTGACGACCATTTTATTCTTGGTCAACGTTCCGGTCTTGTCGGAACAGATCACCGAAACGGAACCAAGTGTCTCAACGGTCTTGAGGGACTTGCAAAGGATCTTGTTCTTGCGCATGATGTTCGCGACGATGGTCAAGCTCGTGGTAAGTGCGATCGGCAAGCCTTCGGGGATGACTAAAGAAAGACGGAGAAGTTAGCATCGGTACATGAAAGAGACACTGCTGGGTAGTCCATACATGCAACAGCGCACGAGACGCAACTGACGATAAGAAGGGGTACGTCAATCCAAGTAGGATGAGATTTCCTCAGCCATGCAGCCCTGAGATGCGTAAGTACAAATCTTTCAACTCATAGATAGCCAAGCATAGACATGTTGCTCGAGACCAGCCACAAACATACCAAAGAACCACGATGAGAATAACGACGCATGTGATGAAGAGTGAGATGATGAGCACAAATCGTAGGATCTCCTTCTGAAGAGGTGTCATGCCAGTCTTGGGATCCGAGGTAAGCTTTGCGATACGACCGAAGATAGTGTTGTCGCCAGTTGCAACGCACACGCCAAGACAGGCGCCCGAGATGCAATGGGTGCCTTGTAATCCGATGTTGTTGGTCTCGAGATAGTTGTCTTCGGTTGCTTCGATGGTAGCTGCGACGGGCTCGGACTCGCCTGGCGTATGTTAGTCCTCGTGCTCAAGTGATATGTGTAGGTTTTGCGTACCAGTAAGGATTGCGCGATCGAACATGGAATCGCTGGATATATCGACGAAACGAACATCGGCGGGTAGCTTGTTACCCTGCTTGATAACGATAATGTCGCCAGGCACTAGATCCAAGGCCGAGATGCTAACGTGCGATCCGTTGCGTACGACAATGCACTGATCAGGCAGCATCGTTCCAATGGATGCCATCACTCTGCTGGTTGACCAGTCCTGCCATGCGTTGAAGGCAGCCTGGATGAGCCAAACAGCGATCAGTACACAAGCAAGCGCCAGGTTTGCAACCGCTGGCGGTTTACCAAGAGGCTTCCATGCGACGAACACCAGTATGCCAGCAACCACAAGGATGCTACCAAAACCACCAAAGAAGTAGCCTATTATCTTCTTGAGTAGCCCTGATGGGGGAGGTGTCATCTTGTTCTGGCCGTGTTCGCTAATGCGACGCTTGGCCTGATCGTCAGAAAGGCCCTGGTCGATGTCGACGGAGAGGCGGCGACACAGCTCATGAACGGCAAGTGTATGCCATTCGAGGTCTGCCAGGTCTGTAGAGGTGAAGTCAGTGGATGTGGCTGTGATTTACGGCCAAGAAACTCACCAACGGCGGCTTTCTCCTTCGCTCTCTTCACCTCATCCTGCTTCTTGTGTTGATCCTCGTCGATCTCGATGGAAAGAGTACGATCTGAATGTTCGTGTCAGGAGTCAGTGGATGTCTCACAAGCAAGTCATAGGAGGCAGCTACTCACAGGTGATGGGGAGTGCAGTCTCTGGCTGTACAGTGCGCGCTCCTCCGGCACTGCGAATGGAAAGGCTGCCCACACTTGATCGTCGTGATAGATTGCGCTCATGGCGACGCTCGTGGGTCGCGTATCCATCCTCTTCGTCCGGAAGGCGTAGCTCTCCGAAACGGACGCGAGGAGCGACCTTTTCTTCCTGATCCATGTGCGAACCTGTGGAAAACACAGATCGATACCGCGGGAAGTAGGACCGGGGAGTGTGCAAAAAAGATGCAAATGAGCTGAGAAGAATGAAGAGAGGTAGCACAAGATTGAGTGATGCGTGAAGCGCGACTTATACCACGAGAAAGGCGAAAGCTATCTGCCGTCTTTACGAGCAGCGTGCCTTCGAAAGCTCTAGCAGCGCGTCAAACACGTGCTTGGGCGGCCTTGGTAGGATATCCATACCGTAAAAGCTCCATCGTAATCACAGCTAAGTAGAATGACACCAAGAGTGTGGTACAAGGTCCTCCTCGTCTTTGTCATAGTCAACTTGAAGCGATTCGACGCACAAATACCTCATACAATCCGATATGGGGCCAGGGTCCTGCAACAGGTAAACCGTAAGCGTCGGAGGTATCCCGTCGGACCTTTTCCCATGCGCCCAAGAATTGCCATTGGCGACTGCGTTTGTCTGAGCTGTTGACGGTTAGCCATGAGCGATTTTCGAAGAACTACACAGCCACGCTGCGACACGCGAAATCAAGCTTCTGCGAGCTCAGCCTATAGTGATGCGCGATTTTCGACCTCACATCCTACCATGGATCTGGTCATCGCGTGCAAAAGAGATGAACATGGCTTGACTGGCGTTGCAACAATGCCTCGGTGGTCAGCAGCTGCCTGTTGAAGCATCCCGGGTTCATGGACGATCTCAGACCCTGCCGGCAGTTTGATGGTCTACGACGGCGTCGCACCGCGTCGCATCATATGTTACTTGCATGGGCATCTGGTGTGTGCTCAGGTAGATGCTGGTAACAGCGTTGGGGAAGAGTGGCTATATGCACGCCATCCACGCGCGTGCCACTGCGAGATTCGGGCCTGTGTAGTGGAGCGTGCGTGCAGAACATCAACTGGACCTGCGGCAGGCGGCGCGTTAAGGTAATGATCGATGACGAGATGCCTCTCGACACATGTGCAGCATATGAGCTCCGTTGGGGTGGCAAGGTGGTGATGATGGCTGCGCAGCGAAAGGGGCAGCTTCCAAAGTTGTGTCTGTGCGCGATGAAGCTTCCCAAGCCAAGAGATGCCCAGCACACGAAGCTTACCGCGTCGTGTTCCATCCCTTTCGCCATGAACACCCACGATAGTGATGGACTGCCACAGCAGCCTCCAACTACTTCAGCAGAACACACACCAAACACTGGAGAAGCCGACTATGCTATTGCCGCATGGCGCCGATATGCTCACCTATACGCCCCCTTGATCGCTAGCCCTTTCGCTGTTTTCTTGTCACCAGGCATCGCTCAGGCCACTGGCTTTACGACCGGCGGGAACAGTCTGCCACTTGTAGTGTCTTTCGCCATACCGACGTACCTCGTAGCATCCTCCTTCTATCCGTCGAACCGACCCGAACCTACTCCGAAGCAATCCATCCGATTCACACGCAAGAACGACCTCTACCGCGCAGGCGTTATCGCAACCTACGGTCGGCTATTCGGTACACCACCAAACGTCATACAATACCTAGTAGACATACTTTGCAGCTATGGCGCCGACCAATTGATTGGGGAACGTCCTGTGGGTACAAGACAAAGGCGTTCGGAATTCCTGATCGCTCTGACGTGGATACTTGGTAGTTGGCTCGTCCGCTTCTTCGTGTCCTTCGATACACCCATGTTGCAACAAGTCGTTCTTCTTGCCGATCGTACCCTCAGTCTTACGGCATATGTTGCGTTGGTTGACGATGTGGTCGGTGTGTTGACGCGACCGAATCTTCGCACTAAGAAAGGAAAAGCCACCCTCATCGCGACCCAGGCGTACACGATCTCGGCGTTCGTGTTTCTGTTCATGAGATGGGCAAAGGGGTTAGCTGAAGGGGAAGTCGGTCCCTACCCCGTGTCAGCAACAGAGCTGTAACAATGGCTGTATCTCTAAGCTTTGTTAGCTTGGGACCTTTAACATAGATGTCATACCCAGAACGCATCGCACGGTGTGCGAGGAGCGCGATGATGATGAGCACAAACATCACATCTTCTGACACAATCTGTCACGAAAGTAGGTAAGAGGAATCTACTTCGATACCATTTACAACGTACACAAATATATCTTGCATCTCGCTCATACGCCGCATCTCATCTTCTTCTCGACGTACCACCACTAAGCTACTCATCGCTTAGCCCAATGTATATGAACGTCCTCGGGCTTATTAATCTGCAACGTCAACACCGGCTGACTGTCTTGTAACAAATGGAGCAAGCGCTGTCTCGCCAATTCTGTACTTTCCCCCTCACGGACAACTGGTAGCGCACTGCAACTACGAAACAGCGTCGCAATAACCGCTACAAATTCTACCTGCGACATCTTCTGCCCAGGGCATACACGCGGACCAACAGACCACGGCATAAAGGTTCCTTGCGCAGGTGTGATGAGCGTGGGCTCTGGTGTGTCGGGTTGTAGCCAGCGTGCGGGGTTGAAGGACAGGGCATCAGAACCCCATGTTGAGCGTGAAGTATGCAATGCCGTTGTGTTCACGTAGATGGTGGATGGAGCCGCGATCTGGAATGACGTGTCTGCGAAGGCGAGATTCTGGCTCGTGGTTATGGATCGCATAAGGAGAGTTACGGGCGGGTAAAGGCGCAGGGTCTCGAGCTATATCGTGAAACCGTCAGCACCGAGCTAACGGAGTAGAGGCTAGGGAGTTAGCCGTCCTTGAAGGATGCCGTTCAAGGATGGCTGTATGTCGATATTGGGTAGCTTACCATAACAGCTAAACAGCGAACAAGTTTCGGGAATGCACTAGCATAGTCTATTGGCGACATGTCAGGTCCTCCAAGCACAGTATCGATCTCGGTCTGGATCCAGGCTTGCCACTCCGGATACACTGCGAGCAGCGCGACGGCGTAGGACATTGTGTTTGCGGTTGTATCAAAGCCAGCAGCGGTGAAGATGAAGAGGTTTCCTGCGATTTCTTCCTCGGTGAGAAACTTCTTGGTAACCTTGTCCAACGAGTCTGGTGTTGAAGCGTCTGTGCGGGTTTTCTCCTGGTCCGAAAGGCGGACAAGTTCTTCCATGATGGTGCCTCGGCTGTTGTTTGGACTTTCGGTCGTCTGTGTAGAATGCGGTGACTTAGAAGCACTATTCTGGCGCTCCTCATTGAGCATATGTTGTGTTAGCCCCGGCAACCGCTTCAGTGCTGTACCTAATCGCTGTGATACCTGCGGCATGAAGGGCAAGCCTAGAAAGCTGGCAGGAAGAAATGCAGCGTAGATGAGTTTGTCGGTGACCAGAGAAATAGCATCAACGTATGAGATGTCCGCTGACGGTTTGGTCGACGGTTGAGATAAAGCAAATGGCTTGTCATGCCCATACGCGATTCGACCGAGGACGTTCATCGCAATCGTACGAAGGCCAAGAACTATCTTCGCTGGCGCCTGGGGAGTATGAGGTGGGGAGACTGAGGGTAAGAGGTCTGCCATGGACGATGCTTGTTCTATGCTCACTCTCCACACTTCTGGGCTAATGCGTTCGTTCAGAGCCGGGGCGACGATACGGCGCTGGCGAGACCAGGACTCATCTTTGGCCTTGGACCGATGGGTTAGTCACGATAAACAGCATGAGCGATCTACTTACAGTTACAATGTTTGGACCCAAGAACCCCATAGTCTCGGTGGTAATGTCTGGATGAACAAAGTCTCTCCTTCTAGACATGATGGTATGGGCCATGGACGGGTCCGCACAAACAAGCCGATTGAGTCCTGTAGTAACAACGACAAAGACGGGTCCCAGCTTCTCATGGACCGCTGCTTTCTCCCGGAATTCCCAGCCCCAGATGCTAAGCTCTACGGTAGAAAATACAGATTTGGGGAGGACAGAGCGAAGCATAGGGCGAAGAGGGACGCAGAATATGGACCAGAACGCCTAAACGTATGATCAGTTTTGAATAGCTATATCTGAAGAGACGGGCACGGGTGTGCAGGTTGCTTCAAGTACATATTGTGACAGGAGGAGCGGTAACTTACGCTATCGGGGTCATAAGGGCATAAGATGATGGGTAGTCCAGTCGCGCGCGCTGCTCGATAGTTGTTGGCGAAATACCATAGCTGGGAAGCGATGAATAGCGACGCTATTGTCACCGCCCCAGTAATGAGATATGCCATGAGTTTGAAGATGCGTCGGGTGCAGTTTTCGATGTCGACCGGTATCCTATTATGTTTGAAACATTTCTGACAATTATATACCTGGGTAGGCCTGATTGTTCCTGCCCACGGACAGATGTCGTACCGGAAGCTTGGTTTCCGGGTCATACGTTTTACTAGTGCCGGTCCTACTACTTTGTCTACCCACACCCCCGAGGCCCACCAGGACGAGATGAGATGCCAGCGCAGCGCATCGCTGGCTTATCATACTGTTTGGGCAGATTTTCACGAGCGATGGATTCTAGGTCGCGAAAAAATGGCACAAAACAGGAGAGCCGTCAGCAGTTGTCTCATTCACCAAGGCCGACGCAGCTTTCCGCGCACTATCATCACCTTCGTACAACGATGAGGCCTTTCTGGATTTTGGTTAGACTTTCCGCAACCTATGGCCGAGTAGCAATCTTACAATCTTGGCGCAAACTTCTTTATCTAGGCTGATGATCTTCGCAAGGTTGTCACTGCCTCTTTCATGTGTGGCCTTGAAACATCGACTTCACGGTCGTCAGCCGGCATGCAGGTGCATTATGTGGGCACTACCTGAGGTACCTGGGTGATTCGGACAATGTATCAGTCTCGCCTCTCGCTCGCCAAAGAACAATCAAATTTCGAATATCGCAAAGCAGAAAGCTTTGTACGAAGCGAACACGCTGTCCGGCTGATAGCGTGCGTGCGGCATCTGAACGGTGGCTTACGGTGTTTCGAAATGTCCGAATGTCCAGAGACGCACGACCCCACCAGCAGACCACCGGCTCCTTGTGCAACCGCGGTCCCGGGCGTGGGGACCTTCAGCAACATCGACCGCGAACGCCTAGTCGGCGCGAAACGCACAAGAGTGGCGGCACACTGCGAAGAAGATGGCAGGGGCAACGCGCGCCTGTTGCGCAATTCTGGCGGCCCGGGCAACCTTGGAAAGGTAACACCATACCGCCGCGACATGCATGCACTGCGAGACTGCACGGCGAGGGTGAGGTTGAATTACAGGGTCCAATAACAGCTAACACCGCTGACTACGAGGCTACACTTTCCGATCGATGTACTCAACGCTTAGCTCTAATACTTGGACATCTTTTTCTGCTATCTGCAGATTTGCCCCAGAGGTTTCCGCCAATCCTCCCTTCGCTGCTTGCACTCGCACCTAGACTCACTATGCCACGCTGATCACAGCCTCAGCTTCTTCAGTACCGTCGGTTCCATGCTCAGTGCTCTCGTCTTCTCCTTCCATGACCTTTTCGTCCTTGCAGGCCTTCCTCCAGCGCTGTTCAGCTTTCTGCAAGCCCTGAGTAATCAGCCCAGAAGGACACTCCTCGGTAGACCAATCCTCGGATACGATGTGAACAATCTTCGCTGGCGCCTCATCGGGCATGTTGATGAGGTTTTGAAGCCACTTCTGCACCTTGCGGTTTTCGGGGATGAAGACCTTGAGTCCGGCCGCTGACTTCTCATCCTGTCCGTTCTCAACAGGAATTGCGGATGCCGCCCAAGGTAGCTTGCGCCATCCTGGCCACACCTCTGGTTGTATGAACAGATTAACAGAATCATCGACCTGCATATACTCCCTGAGAGCGTTTATGTACACCATGTCGACGTTGATGACGAGCTTCTGGAGAGAGGGCATCGCAATCAGAGTGTTGATTATGCGCTGGAAGTGCCATGGCTTCTGTCCACCGCGTGCGTCGGTTTCTGGATAATAAATCTCCATGTCAACGTTGACCTTGCGCATAAGATTCAGAGGACAAGGGCCGTATCGAGGGGTACCATCGCATGCTTCTGAACGGCTCATGAGCTCCAGGAACCGATGCGCAAGCTGTTCACCACCTATGAGATGTCCCTCTATAGCGGTCTCTGGGTAGGAATCGTTGTCCTTGATCTCGAAGTAGTTTTCGCTGTAGAAAATGGGCTTCGCAATTTCGTGCATGACTTTGTCGACTGCTAGCAACGCTAGCATGGTTACAGGAGGTTCCATTGTCCAGTAGTAATGAGGCTGAGCGTTTTTGGCGTTGGAAGGAAGCATGAGCTTCGGCATCTTCAAAAGTGATGAGAATCTGTATACAGTCAGGTGCATGACTTCGGAGTGGCTCAGTTCCCGAAGCCAATGGTCAGGGCGCCAGCCTTCATGAGGGAAGATAGTAGCTTGGATCCTGACTTTGGTGGGAAACAATAGCACCAGTCGGGCGATTTTTCTCTTGATCTCCGCCGGGAGCGCGCTGAAGTAATCGCGTGCGATATGTTGATAAGGTCCTGTGTTCAAGTTCGCGTTGGGGTGCATGATCTGTGTGTCGTAGAATTCGGCGAAGATGTCGTTTTCCATGCCCGGGGGTAGTGTGTAGACGATCTGCTCCGGTCCAGTTCCTGCACATTGGTGTTTGTTCATTTCGTTGCTGGCTTGTTCAGCCCAATTATCCCAGTGTTTGCCGTAATCGTAGTCGTAGCGCACCTCGCCCTCCGGATCTTTCTCCTCCTCGGTCATCTCAGCGCCAACTCCACTTGCCCAGGCTGACCAGAGGGTATTGTCCTCCTTGTTGGCTGAAATGCTTGGCTCTGGTCGGAGCTGATTATGGCTCTCGGGCGGGAACTTGACTTCGTATCGGGAATTCTCTTCAAGCATGTAAGCTTCCATCACAGCGATCAGCTTTTTGGGGTAAGCCTCCATTGCTTCTTGGGTACGAAAATGACCTCGCTGAAAGTTGAGCAGTTCGGTAGCACGTTGGAACATCTCCGCTTTGGTCGCCTTCCGAGACTCAACCAGCAAGAGTGTAAGAGTGATTAGATGATCGGCCTTATATTCTATTCCCTTGCCTCTATAGGAATACATGTCGTGGAGGAAGGCACCTAGTCGAGACTTCGGCTTCAGCGCTTCTGCATGGAAGTCACCCTCGTGTGGCGCACCCGGGAGGAAATGGTCGAACTTTTCGGCGGTAAAGTGCTCTTGGACCAACAGGTCTTGACGTGACGCCAATTTGGAGGGTTCCTCGGCCATGGTGTTGCGGAGGAGGTGTGTGATGGTGGCTGCTGCGGGCGTACGTGTTGCAACTGGCTGGGTATCAGTGTCGCATCTCAAATGAGCGAATGTCTGCCGTACCGTGTCTTCTTGTTTATCTCAGAGCTGGTCGCTAGATATCAGATTATCTCCGACGCAGCTGTTCGTGCGATGCTGATCGTATACCCCGCTAATCGCAGAGCTACGCGGTAAATGCACGAAGTGCTCGCAGACAGGCGTGGTTATCAAATGGGCTATCCTGCGTACGTTCAAAGGCGTGAAGGTAATCGTCGTCGTCTGTTTGAGAAGCGAGTCCAATCTTGCGGTGACCTGCCCAGAATATGAGTCTGAACCTTGGAAAAGTCGATGTCGCGTGGCCAGGCAAAGTCTACGCACGTCCTCTACCTAGCCACTAAAGTAAGCCCTCACTCGTCGAGGCACACGGCGTACCCCTGTTCCGAAGATCGGCTTGCTTCTCCCTGCAACGACAGTGAAGAACGACGTCTACTGGGCATATAATTTCCCGTTTGGGAGTATAGAGGCGTTCAAGGTCTTGGTGGCCTTAGCAACTTCCCATGACGTGCTGTCACGGGATGATCGCAAGGATTTGTACGAACGCAACGCGGTTAGGCATCTCTATGAGCTGCCCGATATCGATCGAAGATGCCGGACCACTCATGAGGCAGCTTTGCAAACTGCATCCTCATCTCATAGCGGGCTTTGATTTCACTCTTTCGGTAAGAGCAACTCCCCTTCTAGACTCTGTAGCAACCATGGATAATGACAACACTTTTTTCTTTCGTGTGCCAACCTTCCTCATTACGATTACCTGCATCCGGTGTCTGTGACATGTAAAGGACGACGTGAGATGCGCAGTTTGATGTGCGACAGTTCCCAGATCAAACTACCTGTTCACATAGAACGAGGAGTGCAGCAGGTCACAGTACATCTGTACTGTGACATGGGCCTATCGACGGTCGGCTCGGGCGTCAGTTTTCTCTGATATCGGTTCTGGGAAGCAGATGAAAGATCATCTACACATAGACAAACATTCCATCATTCCGTGATCGCTGAACCCGATCTCGGTGAGCCGTGACTCACCAGTCGCATCTCAGGGTCTTCTTTATGGAGGCGACTTTTTGGCCTTCATGTAACGCGTCACCGAAAAGTGAAAACGCACGTGTCTGATACGCTCATGCACTGAACGTGTTTTCGGCTTGCGACCCCACTCCACTACCACCTCTTCGAGACACCTATATCTGAAGATTTATATATTGAACAGGCTCCGACTCGGGTAGGTCGACATCAGCCAACGCTTCTCGTGCGACGTTTGACTTATCGACATCTTCTAGTCACTTTCCATTCAACCATGTACGGCCCAGGACGCCTGCACCTGGGCAAGGCGGCGGTCGGCACGCACTTGCTGCTACGACTGCTGCTCTTCGCTGCAACACGTCTTCTCCCTACTGGCCACGACCTCTACCCGGTTTCGCAGCGAGGCCCGGCGTCGTCTGCGGACGAAGCCGCGATCTTCAACTCTGCAGCCACGGTATGCAATCCTCCGCGACGGACGTGAACGTCGCAACTCACAAGTCGTAGATTACCGCGATGGCGGCAGTGCCCTTAGGATCCCGTCCAGTAGGTACTACTGTGATCGTTTCCACAGCTTCCACGTCTCTCACTGAGTCGGTCCAGGTCGGTCAAGCTTTGTAAAATCGGAAGTCCACCAGCTTACAAAAAGCGCAGGTCCTGACAACAGTCAACCCCTCGTGTGAGCATGAGGCGGTCGCCGACCTCCTGACTCCACGCGATGGCAGCCCGACGACCATGTTGCCTAGCTGGACATCAACTGCTGCAACCCCGGTCTCAACGCCTACTCTCGACGAGCTTCCCGACGCGCCGCCAGATGCCCCCGCCTCCCCCTTTCCCGAGTTGGGCTTGACGACGGAGGACTCCGAGTTTACCTGGCAATCACCGGTTACGCCGTACTCCTTTCCCGACGAGTTCCAGGAACGATACGGAGGGCTACTCGCGGGCTACCGAGGCGACGACCTGTCGGATCCAGAGGATGATGACGTTTGCGACTTGGATGAGTCTCAGCAGCAAGGTTATACAGAAGGTATGCCTTGGGTCCAGTTCTCGGATACGTCTGCCTCAGATCTCCTGGAAGATACTCAGATTGTAAGTCAACAGCATGGTCGGCCTCCTACGTCTTACTGACAGCAACTAGCACGAGCAGCCAAGGTTCACCATCAATCCAACGGTGATCGATCCACGGGTCGGCATGTCTGTGCCAGCGGCGGACATGCACTTTCTGTTGGACGTATGCCCCGCAACTCGACCTCTTATTACTTCTCACACTACCTCTTCCCAAATTTTGTCGACGACCAGCAACGCGATCTCGACCCCAAACAACGCACATGCCGGGCCTGGCTCCAACATCGATAGGATACCCAATGAGATAATGCTAGAGATCTTGAGGTATCTTTTGGTGTTCCCAGGCCCAGCGATCCGCATCAGCGAGTCGTACCACCCGACTGGAGAACCCGTACTTCAAGTCGCGACTTCAGGACAACCCATGCACAATGACCTCCGCCTGCCACCCCTACGAGACATTTTGGCCGTAGCTGCGACGAATCTACGACTCCGCCGCTTCGCTTTCGACGTATTCTTTGGACATAACACCTTTGACCTGACCTGCGGCAACATCCTTTACCGAAATGCTCTTCAACGGAATCCTATTCGATGGATCAGGAGTGTACCTATACTATACCAAGAGTCGCTAATGCATGTCGAAATATCCCTCTACTTGGGCTTGGGCCCGGTAACCTACCGGGAGAAGAGGAGGATAAATACTGAGAACATGATTAGGGAAATTGGAAAGAGCCACACACTGCGGTCAGTAACAATAAAAGTGCGAGTCCCTTATGGCATACAATCTCTTACGCCTGCCGAAGGGCGACAGAGGTTTCTCCAAATGCCTGAACTCGACCTTCTCAGTCGTCTTCGCGGGGTGGACCACTTGGTAGTACAGGCCCCTTTCGCACTTGGAGCGCCCGAGACTGCACGGCTGCAGCAGTGCCTGGCAAAGCCCAAAGGTAGGCGCGGCAGGCACGATCAGCCACATCGCTACCCAGCTCTAGCTCTACGCCCATTGAGCAGCGACACCCTGGTGAGGAGGCCTTGGTCAGAACTAGACTCCGAACTCGAGTCCTACGGTGAAGATCCTGCAGCTTTCTCGACCAAGATCTCCAAGGCAAAGAAACTGGAACGTTTCAGGCGGCTCGACTGGAAGAACCCAGATGAACCAGACAAGCCTTGAGCATGCGCTTGGTATCGGGAGCAACTGACTGTGTCGCGCCCTCTAGACGTTCTGATGCAGATAGACGGTATCTTGTAATGGAACCATATGTATGACCTCTTGGCCTTATGATCTGCCTCAACGTCTTGTCTTTGACTGAGCATAGATGGCGACTTCCATGCAATCCAATCGTGATATGATAGCGACTGTGGCTAAATGCTGACCAGCAAGAGTTCCACATCCACGGAGACAATTGCTGTCTTGTTGTAGATTGTGCATCCTCTCAAGCTGAATGGGATGAGCTTCTTGGAGAATGAAGTAAAATGCCGGGCACTTCAATTTGCCTTGAGCCCGAGATGCTTCTCTCACGTCTTCAAGTGATTGCGTGGCTTTGCAAACGTTTGAAGCCGGGCTCGATCCGGGCGCTAAAGGTGACCCTTAAATTGGAGCGGCCGTTCGTTGTCGTGAAAGCTGCCTGCGAAAACTTCAGTCGCAACTTCTCCGCCAACTTCTCCAACCCCTTCAACATCACCCACAATCCCCCTTCTTCTGACGTCTGCTCTTCTACCAAGCACACCATACCATCGTCGAGTCCAGCTGCGGCGCTTGATCGAGTACCTTGACGGAAAGCAAGCTCTCCGCACCTCCTCTCCCGATCGCAGTACGTCTTTGACGCACCTCGACTTCCACGCCCTCGTCTGCATCACAGAAGATGCCGTCCTCCTCCTCGCTCCCTCCTGCCGCTGCGAAGCAGCTCAGCAGTGCCAACGTCGTCGCCGCGAGTACCTCCCCGCCGACGGCCGCAGGCCCAAACCAACCTCCTCGCGGGCTTCTAGCTTTGCCCACCGAGATTCTCCTCACAATATTCGAATACGTACTGGTGGAGGAGGACAGGCTATCGCCAAGCTTGACAAGGTCTCGGAGAGAGGAGCCTGTATTGCGGGCACACCCCCGCATCCTCTCAACACAGACTGCGCCTCCCAAGGCAAGAGTCCTCAAGCCAATGCTCGAGATCTTGGGTATAGGCTTGGTCGCAAAGCGGCTGCTTCCAGTCGTGCGAGAGGCCTTCTTTGGAAAGAACCGCTTCGACTTGTCCTTCGGCCAGAAGTGGCTAAGCGGCGTCCATCCAGATCTCCAGACCCTCATCCACGACGTTGAGATATGCGTCTCGACCTTCGGCACGAGCCAGTTCCCGCGGTCAAGCGTTGACTTCTCCCAACATCAATTGAAGATTAGGAGACTACGCGTACTAATCTCTGCCCGCGCGTTCGAGCGGCACGTCTACGTCTACCACCCTAGACAACAAGGAGGACAGACACCTTGGGAGCAAGTTTTTCGCACTGCCCCTGAAGTTCGTGCTCTCAGCAAATTGCGTGGCGTTGGGGAAGTCACGGTCGACTTCAAATATCCTTCTAGGTTGCTGTTCACTCCGCCAGGTCCAGATTGGTTGTTGGCGCAGGCAGCCTGGCTCAAGAATACCATAGAGCAGGATTAGGGGTGTAAAGACGCCGGTGTAGATTAGAACAATGCATGAGCTGCAGTCAGGCAGTATGTCCTCTTCCTCCATGATAGCCGTATGAATGCAAGATGACGCCTCTAGACAATCAGAGAGCTTCGTCGTGATGCCCCGTGATCCAAGAATCCACAAGTGAACTCCTTTCCCCGAATTGTTACTCGGAAAAGTCTGAGAACGGCCCAG